CACTTAGTAGTTCTGTATTACTGAGCTTCCCAAATCTCACTCTTTTACTCACCATTTCAAGTTGCAAGAATTGATCCAGTGCATCTATCAACTTCAGTATTAGGAGTTCTATTTGGCTTTGCTTGCAGAGTACATTGCATGTGATTAGGGGGTATGTAGGTTGTATTATGTTTTTAATATCCAAGTATGAAATTTGTTTTATTTTTATATATTGTTAAATTTTAATATATAAATTGTTTTATGATACTACACACTTTAATAGAAATTTAAATTTTCCCAGATTTTTATCGTGGGTCGCTGTGGTGGCCCTAATGTGACACCCCAGATCAGATCAGGTCACCCGCATCGGTATGTAGGTGTTACAATTTTGATCGCAGATATTTTGATTTGATCAATCAGACCACCCAACTATTTAAATCCTTCAATCAAGCCATGTGTCGTTAACATTTAACGGTGGATGTGATAAGGCAGTTAAAATATTTTGGTATAATTATATAATTGGTCCTTGTTATTTATATATTCTTTCAATTTGATCATAATTTTAATAAATTAAAATAAATTTAACACTCGAATTAGGAGGTGCCATGTGTTATTAGTGACACTATCATGATACATGTCATCATTCGATTGGTGGACTTAGTTTATACTTATTTATTTATTAGTTTAATAAATTTATTTTCCTCCAATCAGAGAGTGACGCCTCTTGAAAGAAAATAAATTACCAACATCAGTAGGGATGAGGATTGGAATTCTGGTCACTTGGCTAAAACAACTACATCAAAGCCATCGAACCATGGCATCCATTTGGTATACTTTGAACAACAAATAATATATATTTTGTATCTTATTATGTAAATTCTTTACTCAAAATTAATGATATTTTATATATCTTAAATTTTAAAAATATATTTATTTTTGTTTTAACTTATTTAAATATATATTATTTTTTTCTTAACTAATTAAATATTTTTTATTTCAATGTAAAATATATATATTTTATCATTATAATCACTTAAAATATATATTTTTAAATACCTTAACTTAAAATATATTTAAAAAATTTATTATTAATTTATATATATATATATATATATATTATTCTTATCTTCACTTAAAAATTTATACTATTCCTATTTTAAATTAAAAAAGTATTTTATTCTTCACTTAAAAATTAAGATAATAATAAAATATATTTTTATATTAAAATACAAAATATATTTAAGAAGTTAAGGCAAAAGTAAAATATATTTAATAAGTTATAACAAAAATAAAAGATATTTTTAAAATTTAAGATATATAAATTATTATTAATTTTGAGTAAAACATTTACATACTAAGATATATATCATTTGTTGCCAAAATTATACCAAATGAATGTCTTGCTTAATAGTTTGGCTATAGCTATTCCACCCAAGTGACTAGGGTCCAAATCCCCATCCACATTGTTCCTAGTGATTTATTTTTTGTCAAGAGAATGACACGTGTTACCCTCTGATTGAAGAAAAAATATATTAAATAAAAAATAAATTAATATAAATTTAGTCCAAATCTCCAGATTCGAAGGTTAAATTTATTTTAATTTATTAAAATTAGAATCAAATTGAAAGAAAAATAAATAACACGGACCAATTGTGTAATTATACCAAAATGTTTTAACTGTCATGTCACATCCGCCGTTAAATGTTAATGACACGTGGCTTGATTGAATCATTTATAAATAGTTGAGTGGTCTGATTGATCAAATCGAAATATTGGTGGTCAAAATAATTTTTGACCATAGTTGAGTGATCACTCGTGTAATTTACCTTATATTTAATTATCTCTTCGATTTATTTTTATGTAAATATTCATTTTTGATATTATCTATACGATGGATTATCAGAATTTGAACCATAATCTTTAACGTAAACCTATAATAATTTTATTAATAAAATTGCTCACGAGACATTGTAGGCTCTTTTATATTTATATATATAATATTATATTTAATTATCTCCTCTAATATATATTATAGATTAAATTTTAGTTAAAATCAAGGTTTTTAAAAAACAATATTTAACTAAAACCAAGAGTAAATAATTGATGTAATGCGATATAATATTAGGTCTTTAAAATAAATATTAAAGCTCGAACTATAAAGTTATGAATAGAACAAATTAAGTTGTAAGGTTTACTTATATTTTACGAGCTTCCAGATATTTGATCTGAATTAATTGTCCAAACAATTAAATATCAATGGATATTCTTTTTTAAAATAAAATATAACAACAGTACAGACTATTTTTGGTTTAACCATCGATATTGAATTTATTAATCTATTAATCCGAATAATAAAATGTAAAGACTAGTTATAGGAGTAATCCTCTCAACCCAGTTTGCAATGCAAATGCTTGTTTAATACATACTTTCGGTTTAGTCATCGGTATCTAATCCATCGACCGATTAATCCGAATAAAGTCTATTATAAGAACGACTCTCCAAAACTAATTTACGGAGCATATTTCTGCATACAGATGGAATATGGAATATTATACAGAAACGGCCAAAATGATGACCATGGTAGAAAGCTTTGTCGAAGAACGATGATGCATTCAATGAAATACAGTAGCTATACTTAACATAAACAAACAACAAAAGAACAAAATTAATCCAAAACTTCAACAACTTTAGAGAAAACAAAATAAATTTGGCGATGAATCTAATGTGATTAACGTTAAAATCGATGTGTTTGGTCTGTGGTAGCATTTCTGGTGCTAAATATGTATATATATATATATATATATACACACATGTGTATGTATGTATAGACTTTTGTATTTTGAGGCCACTTTCTTCTTCATCAGCTGCTGCTGGTCATTTTTGGGTCATCACTCAGGATGGTAATTAATTCTCTCTCTTTTTATGTTGTTGCTTCTCGTATCATACTTAGGGTTTGTTTGTTTCGCTGTAACTAGTTTTCGTAAATATACTTTTCTAGTCTTTCGGTACGTTTGCACTAATTATTGGTCTAACGGGATGAAGTATTAAACGTCTTAAATTATATACAGAGTTCGAATCATATAGTACTACCAATTGAACAAGTTGGATTGAAATGATCACCCTATGTCAGGCCTTCACAACATTCGAATAAGGACTAGTCACAGTCGGAGATCTTGACACATTTTTTCTAAATTTTTAAAAAAACCACCGATAATCAATCGATCAATGAATCGGAAAACGATTAGTTATACCAAAAATAACAACAGTTGATATTTTATACACATGTTGTGTGGAATTTATTTTATACTTGTCTAATATTTTATACACATGTAATGTTTGATTATGGTTAGCGGTGGATGTACGAATTTCTTTAGGTTAGTTTCTTATTTTACTGAAGGTATATATTCTGAAATTTTAGTTGTGCTCACTCGATACGAAGATTTTTTGTTATGAATATATATGTGTCTACCCTAAAAATATTTTATGGATTCGCCACTAATTATGATTATAATCAACGAGCGAACTATAATTGCACTTCTATCTCTTAAAAGAATAAAATAACATATTTACATATTTTTGTTATATCATGCATATAAAATTATATTTCAGATTTTATTTGAAATATAAAACATTATTGATGTGTGTTATATTGGCAAATTTTAAAATTATTAAAATAAAAACATTGTTAAGAGGAAATTAACATTATGCATGCATGCACGTACGTACAAACAGGGGCTCCCGTGGATGACCGAAGTTGACGAGAAGAATAAAGGTGGATTCAAAGCTTCCATGTTCCTTTTTGGTAATTTAACCCAAACCCTTTTTATCTTTATTTTAAAAGTAAAATGTCTCTTTAAGTCCCTCTTAGTTTTAAAATTTTACAAATTAATCAACTTTTGTAATGTCCCCCCCCCCTTTGGCAGTGCTCATGTCATTAGAAAACATGGGTTTTGTTGCAAACATGGTGAGCATGGTGCTTTACTTCCTTTATGTCATGTTCTTCAACCTCCCCACCTCTGCAAACACACTTACAAACTTCATGGGATCAACCTTCTTGCTCTCCCTCGTCGGCGGCTTCATTTCCGACACCTTCATTAGCCGATACACCACCTGTCTGATTTTCGGATTTGTAGAAGTTCTGGTGAGAAACTAATTTGAATTAGGATTAAACATTAGGACTCAAATTGTTTAACTTCAAAGTTAACAAGGACCTGAAAATTAGGAGCCAATGCTTATTTGGACCCTCCTTCTAGGGATGAGTATTTGATCGAGTTGAATAAAAAAAATTATAGTTGACGAATCATATTTTATATCTCAAACTTTATTTGAATTTTTTTAGTTGAATTGTTCGAATTTATATATATAATTATAAATATTTATAATGTTATAGCACTATTTGATTCAAATTTAAACGTTTTTCTATAACTATATATGATATACATATATATTCTTTCATATTTTTCATATGTGATATACATATATCATGTAGTGTTGAGGGACTTGACTCTAACTTGAAAATCAATACACTAATTACTAAAAGTTTCGAGTTATTCAAACTCTATTTTATAACTCGATTCGAATTTGAACTTTGTCAAGTCGAGTCGTGTTTATAAAATTACAAGTTGAGTCGAGTTTTCTAACACCAAATCAAGTAAAAAATTCGAGCTTTTCAAATCGAGTTGAGTTTTGTTAGTATAGTAGTTAGGGATGTAAATAAGACGAGACAGATCGCGAGCTATTCAAGATTGACTCGGTCAAAGCTCGATAAGTACTCAAATAGAATGGACTCGACTCGAATTCTTAACGAGTTAAAGTAAGCTACTTGATACTCGACTCAAAAAGCTCACGAGCTACTCGAAAAATAAATATATTAAAATTTTAGAATTTTTTAAAATAAATATATTATTAATATTTATATGTTATTTTTTAAAAAAAAAGTAAATATAAGACTTTCAAATTTGAGTGGAGTTTTAATTTTTTATTTTAAACGGAATTTGAAAATCTTAAGCTTGCGAGTTTTCATGTCAAGTCGAGTTTCAATTTTTTATTTAGAGTTCAAGTCGAGCTTTACAATTTTAAAGTTTTCAAGTTGAGTCGAGCTCAATAATACTCGGCTTTACTTGTTTATAACCCTATATGCTAACTGAGACAAGTTTTTCAACTTGCAGGGATTGGCATTAATTACAATTCAGGCTTATTATAAGGATTTGCAGCCCGCCTTCTGTTTCGGCAAGCCGAGCTGCATACACGGCGGCAAGGCGGTGATGTTCTACACTTCATTGGGATTGTTAGCATTGGGGTCCGGTGGGGTTAAGGGAGCTCTTCCGGCACTCGGTGGTGAACAATTTGATCATAAAGACCCCAAGGAAGCAAAAGCTCTAGCAAGGTTTTTCAACTGGCTATTGCTCAGTACTACACTCGGAGCTTCCGTCGGAGTGACGGGCATCGTGTATTTGACTACGGAAAAGCATAAGTGGTTTTGGGGTTTCTTCATATCGACGGTGGCTACGTTCATCGGATTCTGTGTTCTTGCATCGGGAAAGCCTTTCTACCGCCTACGGGAACCGACGGCTGCTAATAGCCCCATCATAAGGATAGCTCAGGTTCAGTATTTATCTCATGCATATCCACAAATATAAACAAGTGTGACAAACACTTCTTGTGTGTTGTGATCGACGATTCGTAGGTCATAGCAGTTGCCTTCAAAAATAGACGGCTAGCTCTGCCGGATAAACCGGATGAATTGTACGAGGTCGATGAAGACGAAACCAGTTGCAGGGAGGAAAGTATCTCCCACACCAACCAATTCAGGTGAACCATGCATGTGAAACAATTGAATGATGTTGAATCATGCATGTGAAACAATTGTATGATGTCTAAACATGCTAAGAAATTTTCTGAAACTAATTCCGATCCTTGATTCTTGGTCAGATTCCTAGATAAAGCAGCAATTGTTCCGAAAGAGCCGGAAGCGACACCGTCACCGTGGACAGTGTGCACGGTGACTCAAGTTGAAGAAGTCAAGATACTAACCAGAATGTTGCCCATTTTAGGCAGTACCATCATAATGAACACAAGTCTGGCGCAGCTGCAGACATTCTCGGTTGAGCAAGGTAACATCATGGATCGCCATCTCGGACAACTCAACGTTCCCGCCGCATCAATCCCGATAATCCCACTGGTCTTCATGTCCATTCTGATTCCTGTCTATGAATTATTCTTCGTCCCTTTTGCTCGAAAAATCACACATCATCCATCCGGCATCACGCAACTCCAACGCGTCGGCGTGGGGCTTGTTCTGTCAGCAATTTCAATGGCTGTTGCCGGTATCGTTGAGGTTAAAAGAAGGGATCAAGCTCATAAGAACATGTTCAAGCCCATAAGTCTCTTCTGGCTCTCCTTTCAATACGGAATATTCGGAATTGCAGACATGTTCACTCTTGTGGGTCTGTTGGAATTTTTCTACAAGGAAGCACCGATCGGCATGAGATCACTCTCGACATCCTTTACCTGGTTATCTCTATCTTTCGGCTACTTCTTGAGCACCGTGTTCGTAAACATCATAAACTCCATCACCAAAAGAGTCGGTTCAAGCGGAAAGGGTTGGATTCATGGATTAGACTTAAACCAGAGCAACTTGAATCTCTTTTACTGGTTTTTAGCCATCCTTAGCTGCTTAAACTTTATAAATTATCTGTACTGGGCCTCATGGTACAAATACAAGACGGGCGAACCTGATCCTGATGAAGCCGAAGCTAAGGATTTGCGTAACGGACCTCTTGTAGCAGAGGGAGAAAACACCACCCTGGATGGAGGAGTATCACAAACACATGAAGCTCCTTCTTCTGTTCAAACAGAGGAATCAACGCAACAACTAATAAAAGAACTTGATCATCCTGAAGCCGAAGCTAAGGATTTGAGTACCGGACCGCTTGTCAAAGAGGAAGAAAACACCTTGGATGGAGGACTAACACAAACACAGGAAGCTCCGTCTTCTGTTCAAACAGAGGAATCCAAGCAACAACTAATAAAAGAACTTGATCATCCTGAAGCCGAAGCTAAGGATTTGAGTAGCGGACCGCTTGTCAAAGGGGAAGAAAACACCTTGGATGGAGGACTAACACAAACACAGGAAGCTCCTTCTGTTCAAACAGAGGAATCTAAGCAATAGCTTACAAGTTGTTGATGAGGGACATAAACACACACACACACATGTTTCTGTGTGCATGTGACAGAAAATAAAAATCATTTCATCAATTCGAAGAGTCGATAAACCAGAGCCAGAGGTTGGCCTAAACAAACTCTCGGATACATACTATTGAGGTATTTATCTCTTAGACAGACTAGCATTATTAGCATGGATGATGGATCTTAATAAATGAATTACAAATGCAAGCAAAGAATTCAAAATCTGCTCGATGTGTCGAAATTGGTCATCAAGGGTATGCTGCTATACCCTAAGAAGCAACTTTCTCCCTGTGGGAACTAAACCCCGACTTGGCAAATACTAGAAACCCTATTTTTCTTTTCAATGACTTGAATAGGAACAATAAAATTTTCCTAACCTGAGTAGATGTCTGATTCACGGAGCCATTGATGTTAGTGTACTCTGTCACTTGTGAGTTGATACTCTGAATTGGAATACGAATAGAAGGTGCACCCGGCATCGACATCGGAAGTCCATGACCATGAAGCCCATATGGCCTGAGGTTAGATCCCGATATCTCCTGGAGTGTAGTGGTGCCGGGCGGATGTGGGCCAGGGCAGGGGCCAGAAAAAGGTGCTCCAGGGGTTGGAGGCACCTGAACCATAGGGCAAGCAGAAGCTGCAGTATCCGTTTGGGGAAATGGCATCCCGAAACTCATACCTTCACCCATTCCAACACTAGTGGATGATAAATGTGCCATATGAGCTGCATGCATGTGTTGCATTCCAGTTGGAAACATCATCAGTGGCATGTACAAGCCGGCCCGCATAGACATAATCTGCAAACGATCAGTAGTTGATAAAATGAACTTATTTTGATTGCCCTTCAAAGAGTCAACATTTAAATATACACTAAAAGGAAAATTAACAGTTATGATTTGAGAGAAAGAAGATGGATATCTTACCTGCACCTCTAGTTGGAGTGTTTTAAGATATTCAATTGCTTCATCAAGCATCGAAGCTTTGTCCACCTCGTAATGCCAAAATGTAAAAAGTAAACATCTTTAAAATACAAAAGCTATTAAGTCTTTGTTGGTCTGTTTTTGGTTCAATAAAAAATTCATTGAAGCATTTAACCATGTCTGGTGAATTTAACTTTGATTGCAGTCGAAGGTAAGAAGCATGAATAGGCTATTTGTTTTAAACTACTAATAAAATGAGCATGGATAAGCCTAAGCTCAATGATCTATTTCCAGATTCGCATTTGCTTCCAAGAGAACTCTTGATTTAAAAGTAATACGAATTACCAACCTTGTTGCAGTTTGGTATGAGCTCCTGTAAGGCACGCATCTTCTCGTTTATCCTATCCCTTCGCCTCTGTTTGTGAAAGTCAATGTCTTACAATTCAGACACAGCCATATGAAGGACAACTTTTTTGAATTATCGAACTAATCGAATACATTTTCTCACCCTTTCAGATAAATTATGCACTTCTTCTGCTCGACTTCTCTTAGACCCCTTACCACCTTGAGCAGGAATTGCTTTTTTCACACCCACAGACTCTTCTTCAGCATCCTACACCGCCACCGATCCCCTTTCCCTTACTTCCATTCTTCTCAATCCTAGCCATAGCACCTATGTTCTTAAGACTAGTTTTAACAATCGCAGCAGGACGTGCGAAATGGGAAAAATTCATCAAGACAGTACTACTACAAGGTGCAGCAGGATCTTGTTTCTGCACCTTAGTGTCAGGCAAAGCATCATCTGATGTTTTAGCTCCCATTGAATATCTGCAAATGGAACGGTTGGTGAAGGTATGGCTCAGGTTATTACCAATACTCTCCGAATTTCATGATCTAAAATACGGAGAAGACACTTGACGTGGCTGTGACGGCCTAGCTTCGTCATCTGCGGGTTTACAAACCTTCGACAGCTTTCCTCGTTCGAAATCCAAAGCATCATTTGTAGAAACAGTAAACGAATCTCGAATGGATTGGCGTCTTCTATCAAATGATGCTAAGTTACTATTAGTTGGGATCTCATTCGAAGTGAGCCCGGATACTTCAGGCAATAAACCAGAACATTCATCATGTAAAGATTGAGCCTCAGGGTACTTCAGCCAAGGCACCACTTCATCATCAGCACCATGAGTCGGCACCACCGACATCGGAACATCACTCAATACAGAGTCCACCACCCCAAACTTTCCCATTCTTGTAAAACCCCCCGCATTTCCAACATCTTTATCACTACAAGAAATCATCTTTCTAGCCCTACTAGACTGACCTTGCATTGAAACTTGACCATTTTCCCATACCAATCGAACAATGTCATTCTCAGGTCTGCACTCAAACAACAACACATACAAGATCGAACAACATGTTAACAAATGAAATTCAGTGTTTAAAACACGTAAGAGGAACGAACCAGAGAGTAAAACCGAAACTTACACAGAAGACAAATCAGTGTAGCTTGAAGGGTTCTTGTGTTGAGATGAATCAAGCTTCCCCCTAGCCATCCGATATAGCTCATACAAAGGCATGATGAAAAGCTGAAAAAAAACACACCCTATTTTCTTACTTAGGAAAAACTCAGATTCAAATAATGTTATTATTCTTAGAAATCTATTGAATAATCTTCGTAGTAAAAGAAAATGATATTATTCTTAGAAAATTTAAATTCGAATAATGTTTACAGAGTTGTTTGTACTATCGATAAATTAATAAAATTTTAAATAAATATTATTTTATATCACTCTAAATTTTTCAAAGTGATTTAAGTATTAGTTCTATATTTAAACCTAAACTAACACCTACAAATAAAGTTCAGTTCATACATTAATTTAGGTTTTACAAAGAAAAATTATCCCAATTTCTTTTATCAGAAATGATCCCGAATTTAAAATTAATCGAGAGCTACTCAAGATCGACTCGATCAAAGATCGATAAATACTCGCTCGACGCGGTTGGACTCAACTCGAGCTCGAGCTCGACTAGAGTTCTTAACGAGCAGAAACGAGCTACTTGATACTTTACTCGAAAAGCTATTAAGCTACTCGAAAATATAATATATTAAGATTTTATTTAAAAAATAATTTATCAATAATATTAACATTCCTGTGTTGATTTTTATTTTTGTGAAAAAATACAATATAAGGTTTTCATATATTTAAAGTTCAGGTTTGAGCTTGAATTTAAGGTTTTAATCGAGTTAAGTTTAAGATTTTTTTTCATTTCGAACTTTTACGAGCTTTATTTTATGATTACGAATTTGAGTTGAACTTGAAAAATTTAAAGTCACGAGTTTTCGAATCAAGTCAAACTCTATTTCAAAATTTTTAAATCAAATCAAACTCGATTCAACTCGTTTACGACCCTCAACAAGATGTGGAGCTTAATATGAAATCCAGTTATTTTAAACAAACACACTTGTGGACACGTAGGACCGATAAAGACGTGGGCAGGTACATACATTATCTTTAAGTGGTTACTGTTACGCAATAATAATCCAACAAAACAGAAAGAGTGCACGTCCACGTCACAGGCGTTAGGAGATTTTGAAATTCGAGCAGTATCATATTCCTTATTTATTTTTCGGTTAATGCACCTTTTGGCCCTTCACTTTAGTTTCGATATGCAACTTGGTCACTAACTTTTTTGGATGCAATTTGAGCACATCGTCTGTGATGTGTTCGAACGTTTATCGCCAAATGATTAAGACAATTTTAAATAGATATTAAATTATAATCACTTCGTACTAATAAAAAATATTGCGACTTTGATATGTAATTTGACATTTTTGTACAAGGTTAAAAGTAATGATTAATTTTTTATTTATAAATTAAAATTTATATATATCTTTAGGAGGTGTTTGGTTGTAATTTGAGATTACCAGAGGAATGTAATCTCATTCCTCCGTTTGGTTGACCAACATTCTCTGCCATCGGTAATATTTTATTACCAACAGTGGATTTTTTAGGGTATATTACATGGAATGTCATATCTCCCTCCCCTTAGAGATTTATATTTCAAATTTGACATCTATAAAAATGAGCACGAATCAAGCGATATCGATAATAATTTTTTTATTATTCATTAAGATGTGAATATTTAATGTCAAATGATAATAACATATGTATTATCGATAGTTAAAATTTATAAATCGATTCGATTCGATTCGGTTCGAGTAATTATACAACATAAGGATAATGGTAGTTGTCTAGGACACAATTACGAGGAGTTGATTAATAGAATAAAGCAGTGCGGTACACTGTCTGAATTCAACTAGATAAAGTTATTTTTTTATTCTTTTTACGGTGCAACATGTGTCACTTAATCACTCATTTCCTCGAAGTTGAATCTTTCTTCTTCTGCTGCTCCCCTGGATCCTTTCACCGCTTCTCCTTCCCCATGGCCTCTCCTCTCCACGACTCCCCAAACGCCGCCGTGAACGGCACTTCCGCCGTCGAAGCTAAATCTCGTCTTCCCAAGAGATCCAGATTGCACGCCGACTCATCACCACCGTTGTTTACTCCATCCGATATACTCTCCGAATTCTCCCACCACGACCCAACCGTCGCTCGCATCAACAACGGCAGTTTCGGCAGCTGTCCTTCCTCCGTCGTCTCCGCCCAACACGACTTCCAGCTGCAGTGGCTCCAACAGCCCGACGATTTCTACTTCAACCAGCTCCAGCCCAAAATCCTCCAATCGCGAACCATCATCAAGGACCTCATCAACGCCGACCACGTCGATGAGGTCTCCATCGTCGACAACGCCACCACCGCCGCCGCCATCGTGCTGCAGCAAATGGCTTGGGGATTCGCCGAGGGGAAATTCAACCATGGGGATGCCGCCGTCATGCTTCACTACGCTTACGGTGCTGTCAAGAAGTCCGTCGAGGCTTATGTCACACGCGCAGGCGGGTGTGTTTTCGAGGTCCCTTTGCCTTTTCCCGCTAACTCTGTAGATGAAATTGTACATGAATTTAGACAAGCATTACAGAGAGGGAAACAAAATGGGAGAAGGGTAAGATTAGCTGTTATCGATCATGTTACTTCCATGCCTACCGTAGTAATTCCCGTTAAAGAATTGGTCACTATCTGTAGAGAAGAAGGCGTTGACCAGGTTTTCGTTGACGCCGCTCACGGAATCGGGTGCGTCGATGTCGATATGAAACAAATCGGAGCTGATTTCTACACTAGTAATTTGCACAAGTGGTACTTTTGCCCACCATCTGTTGCCTTTTTGTACTGTAAAAGGTCTATAAACAACTCCGACTTGCACCATCCCGTTGTTTCGCACGAGTACGGCAATGGATTAGCTATCGAAAGTGCTTGGATAGGAACCAGAGATTATAGTGCTCAGTTGGTAGTTCCAAAGGCTTTGGAGTTCATCAATAGATTTGAAGACGGGATCGATGGGATCAAGAAAAGGAACCATGAATCTGTTGTCGAGATGGGGAAGATGTTGGTTGAAGCATGGGGAACTCATCTCGGTTGTCCTCCGGAGATGTGTTCGAGCATGGTTATGGTCGGTTTACCTGCTTATTTGGGGATTTCGAGTGACCGCGATGCTTTGAACTTGAGGACATGTTTAAGGGAAAAGTTCGGTGTTGAAGTTCCGATATATTATCGATCACCCAAGGATGGGGAGGATGGTGTAGTAACGGGGTATGCAAGAATCTCTTATCAAGTTTACAACAAGGTTGAGGATTATTACAAGTTTAGGGATGCAATCAATCAACTTGTTCACAATGCATTCACTTGTGCTTCTCTTCCCAATTCATAAGGTTAGTGCCGCTGCTCTCTTCCGATATTAAATTTGCTTGTTAGAACTTTATATCAATTTCTGATTGCTGTTTTAGAAGATATGCTGTTCTTTTCCATGCATTTTGTCTCGTGTTACACTTCGCTTTGATCGTATTGAACTTAGTCCCTGCTGAATTCGGTTGCTAATAGATATAGAAGTGAATTGTAGCAGTGTTTATACTGTACTTGAGTTCGTTTATTTTTCTAGTTCATTTTCTTTTGTTAGCATAGTGTTGGAACTTGGGACATAAAAGGAAAAGAATAAGCCTTATGGTACCTAAATCGACAAATATAGCCGCGAGCAGAGCACTGAAGCCGAGTAACCTTGTCATGATCCCTTGGTAGGAACTTGATATCGGTTAAGTATTAAGGTTTCCTATGATCTTATCTTAAAGTCGAACCCTACACCTATTGTCAATTGATTTTAGGTTGAATGCATAATGGTTTTCGGCTGCCAAGTAAAACCGGTTAGGTAGCTACCGGGTTCGTTGTTTTGCAAATAGAATGTATGCGTTTAGGTTTCATCTTTTCTCGTCTCTGTGTCTTATTCATGCATGGAACCACATGGAACATGGAAATCGTCGTTAGTATATCCGACGTAAAATAATAATGATAATTCTGTAATTAACAGATAAATTTGCATTTTAGTTGTTTAAGGACTACTGCTCTTGCTCTACTTGTGTGCAGCTGAAGTAGTAGTATTTCCTCGTCCACCGGAATAAGAGCCGGCCAGCCAGCCTGCGATGGCCATCGGCATGGTTTCGGTACCATGCAGAATCTTGATTACTTGTATGAAATGTCAAACGCAAACATGTTCTGCTTTGCTTTGCCTTTTTTTGCAACTCTCATGGGTCTAGTATTTGCCTTTCTTTCCAATTCGGAACCTGTAGATATCTGTTAGTATTTGCCTCTCCAAACACAATAATCTTATGATGGTGAATCCGTTAAACGAATCCGGTTAGTGTTATTGTGTCTAATATTTCATTCCGTAATCATTTTTAGATCACCCGTTAAAAAAATCGTTATCGTTCATCGACAAAATAAGATACTCTTGCTTTTATCAAGACCAATAAATAGAGGGCACATATGTTTAGTACCTATCATTTCTTTGGTTAATTAACTATTTTTTATTTTATCTAATGTTCCGTCTTACTTTTATTTTGGTCACCTACCGTTAAAAGTTTAACAGTGATGCTAATGTGTATTACGTCATCATTGAAAAAAATGTCAAATCAATAATTTTGTTACTTTTTAATGAAGGGTGACTAACGTAAAATCAAAACGTAACGTTAGGAAAGATTTTGAAATAAAAGATAATTAGGTGACTGAAAAGGAATAAAAGTGATTGTTAAGGTATTGCACGTGTACTTTACGCTAAAAACTTTAACTATTAAAAAACGACTTACTCCTGATTGCACTGTTGTAGTGTCTGCCATGTCTTACGTGAAGGTAATAGAGCGAAGAAACTAAATTTTAAATAAGCAAAGAGTCTTGGACTGAGAGTGCAATTAGACTTTTTCTTATTTTGTTTAATTATATTAATATATTATGGAAAAAGTGCATAATAAATCCTGCACTTTATATTTTTTTTCAATTTAAAGTGTAAATTTATTTTAATCAATATGTTTCATAAAATTATAAGGTGGACAGGGCACTATAACATTAACATCGTTAAAGATTAAATGTTTTAATCAATATTTTTCATAAAATTAAAGGGTAAATTATATGTTTAGTACTTAAACTGTAAATTTTGGTCTGTTTTAGTATCTGAACTTTTAATTTTTTCAAAAGCATACCTAAAGTTTATTTTTTATTTTATTTTAGTGCCACTGTTTAAAATTTAACATTGAGTTTTTTTTTAAAGTTTAAATACTAAAATTGATCATTAATGTACTAATTGTTTACCGACGAATACTAAAATGAAACAAAAACTAAACGTTAGGCATAATTTTTTTTAAAAATAAAGTTTAGGTACTAAAACGGATCAAAACTGATGGTTTATGTACTAAACGCGTTGTTTACCCAAAAACAAAAATGATAAAACTCTTTTTGCAAAGTTAAGGATTAAAGTTTATTCATAAAAATAATGAGATCAAATTTATAAAACATATAAAAATTGAGGGCTAATTTTTTATTATACCAAAACATTTCATACTTGTTCTCTTTCCCTCGTCAGTCCAACTCAGATTTCTGGTCGACAGAGAGAGGTGTCCCAAATCTGTCCAGTTTTACCCCCAAAAGAACCCTAATCCTCCGATTCAAAGGTACGCAATTCCGTCCAATTTTGCCCAATGATTGCATATATTTCCTCTCTTTCTTCAATTTTTTAAAAAATTCTTAGGGTTTTTACGTTCTTTTTCATATATATTGGGGTCTCAATGAAAGCTTGGGTCTCTTGTTCTGATTATTGATTTGTATATTGTAGTTAAATTCACCCAAAATGTCTTCTTTTCCATCATAATAAAAAATTCGCCTTTTGTTTTCTGTTGTTTCAGCATTGACCAAACTCGACCCTTAATCAGCAGAAGATCACTGGACTCGGAATTTATCCTTCAAACCATTTGTTCTGCTTTACTTGTTTTGTTTCCATGGATTTTGCTGAAGCATTTCTCGTTTTCTCGACGATCGGCAGGTCATGGCTGCAAATAGGGTCATAGCAGTTTGTCAATCGGGTGGCGAATTTGTGACTGACGAGAATGGGACGTTGTCGTATAAAGGCGGGGATGCTCATGCCATAGACGTCGATGGCCAGACGAAGTTCGACGACTTCAAGACAGAAATAGCAGAAATGTTTAATCCTAGCATGAATACTATGTCTATAAAGTACTTCCTCCCGGGTAATAAAAAGACTCTCATCACTGTCTCGAACGAGAAGGATTTGAAGCGGATGATAAAGTTTCATGGGAATTCTGCTTCTGTTGATATGTTTATCATAATGGAGGAGGAAAACGCTGCTCATGATGTTTCTAACATGGAAGCCAGTAGGTAGTTTTCTTTACTCAATGCTGAGATTTTCTTTTTACATGTCAGTAGGACGACTTTGTCTGAAGCAGTGGATCCACTGGATCCGCCTCTTGGGGCCTCTTTTGGTATCGTTGATGCCAACAACCACCATATCGATGTACCCGTTGATATGCCAACTGAGATTTCATCTGTTCTTCCTCTTTTTTTTTTTTGATAAGAATTTCAGGCCTCGTTAAAAACCCCCTTCTTGATTGTTGGAGCTAGTAGTGTAGCTCCTTAATCAACGGAAGGAGGAAAAGAGTGCCTAAGGATTTTATTGCACATAAGAGATTACAAAAGATACAACTTTACAAACACCTATAACAGAACCGATGAACAAAAACAACCTAAAACCACCCATAAATAGCACCACTAGACCAGCCAATTCCTTCATTAGGTAAGACAACAACCTCTAAATTGGCTGTCCTATTAACCAAATCTAACAACACCTAATGCAAAACAAACCAACATTACAACCAAAAACTTGAAAAAAAAAACGCCTCTGAAAACATATGCCAAACAATTAAGTATCAATTGGAGGATCAAGTTCTAATGAGATATCGCAATCTTCGGGGACCCAAGAGTTAGGTTTGAAGGATGGATCAACTTCATGCACCATAATCTTGAATAAATTATCACCGACCTTCAATTCCAACAACTCATCAATTCTCACTTGATCTTTTGTGAGTATTTGGATTTTAGCCCGATCAAAAGATGATGGAAACTCGCAACTTTTGTCGATTGATAATAATTTGCCCCACTTTGTTGCAATGCTTTTGAAAGTATCCCAATTCCAAGCGTGAAAAGGAATACCTTCGCAAACTAACCACACGCGACGACAATTCACCACTAGGCTCTCGGACCAAGTTTCCACTCTGGAAAACCATTCTGTAAGAGTCTCTAGAAAGTCATCCTTCACGATTCTCAACGAATCAGAGTCTTCAAAAACCATTAGAACTACATTTGCAGCAGCCCTCATAAGCGTGAAGCCAACAAGTCCTTTGGCTTGAATTTGGTTAGCAAGATTACCAATTTTAATGAAGTTCTTGCACCACCCCACAAGACAGTTACTCAGCACATGTAGCTTATCCTCGTCCACAACGCCCTCAACTTCAGAGAATTTAATCCCCGAAATATCTTCCAGCCCAGACTTACGGCAAACAACAGTCGATGACTTTCTCCAGTAAGATTGTCGGGGTCTGTACTTAGCCAAAGAGACTCTAACTTTGCTTCCATAAATATGATTACCATTCATCTTTGAAATCGCTATCTTGGCTTCTTTAATTGTTGCAAAGCGAATAAACCCAAAACGAACCCCTTGCGAGTTTCTTTTTTTTGGAATGAAGGCATCAATAACTTTCCCGTAAGTGCAAAAAATAGACCGAAGTCTCTTCCAATGTATCGTCTCTGGAAGATTTTCGATAAAAATCGTGTAACAACAATTTTTGAACCCATTCCCGAAACTTGGTTGACCTTCTTTCGACCAATTATGAAAACCACTTCTACTCCTTCTCGCTACTTCGAGAAAATCTTCATTAGAGAAACCTTTCATAGTGCTCTCCTTGGTTCCATCTTGATCAATATCGGTGTTAGGAAGAGTTGGTACTGCCTGAACTATTGAAAACTTCCCGACCCTATGATTTCCTCCTTGAGAATAAGACCGACCAATGTCATCTTTTTTAACAGGTGGCTGACAATCCAATGTTGCTTTATCAGAGCACTGCTTCAGAGGATTGGGTGAATGTGGACTGTCACCTGACCTCTCTATATACGTTCCCAAACTTTGCTGATTTTGGGACATAGAATCTTTTCTGAAAGTAGTACCGTCAGGCTCAACTGTCCAACCAGCTTCACGAGCCAAGGCAGCTAAACATCATTCATAGCAGCATTCTGGGGAATAGGGAAATTACCGAACTGCCTCAAACCAGCCAGCAAACGTCTGGTGAAAACTCGTCTGTATCGTTTCCGAATCTTTGCGTTCTTCTTTTCATTCTCCTTTGAACGTTTTTCCTTACCAGAAAAAGATGAAGTGTTTGCAGCGACGAGTCCAGCGGTTTTGAACTGCCTACCTCGTGATATTGTATCCTCCAGCATTTTAAGTTCCTGTTCTCGCTTCTTCAAATCAGCCACAAGAGATTTGAGTTCCTTCACTCTCGCTTCTAAATCCTTGGCTTCAAGAGGGAGAGATGAAATCCTAGTCGTTGAAGGAGGAGCAGAACAATGACCTGCAGAGGATGCATCCACCGCATCTGATGCAGCAGACCTTGGAGCATCCACCACGTCTGTTGCAGCAGACCTTCGATGTCGCCTGGGTTGGGACGGTGGTTGAGGTGCCATGGATAGATCGAAACTTACAGAGCAAAAAGCAACGATTCTTTACGCAAGGAAACGCGGGTTCTGGTCACGGAGAGAAGACGAGTTCGAAGGTGAGACAGTGTCGAACGCTGACGGCGGGATGCGACGGTAGATAACAGAGGAAGCTGTGAAGATTTGCGTCAAATGGCAGTGATTTTCGCAAATCTAAGACCAGATCCGAAAACACCGTTAGCCGACGAACCTCCCAGGAAAAAACGCGTCAAAAGTAGGTCGGAGTAAGGCGGCGGACAGCTGACGGAGGCGGCGGGTGGCGGACGACGATGGAGGACAATGGGTGTTTGACGGAGGAGAGAAAAGATTCAAAACGGGCTCGTGAAAATTCAAAATTTGAAATCACCTGGGTTAGAGAGAAGCTGGCTGTTATTCCTCTTTCTAAAAGCACTCAACAGTGGCAGAATACAAATACAAGGGTAGGGCAAAGATTCACCGGTGTTCAGGAATTTCGTGAGACATTACGAAAATATGCCATTGCCCATCAATTTGCATTTAGGTATAAAAAGAACGATAGCCATCGCGTGACTGTTAAGTGCAAAGCTGAGGGCTGCCCTTGGAGGATTCATGCATCAAGGTTGTCAACCACTCAGCTGATATGTATGAACAAGATGAATCCGACGCATGTGAAGGGTCTACTTTGACCACTGGGAATCAAGCAACTAGGAGTTGGGTAGCTAGTATAATCAAGGAGAGGTTGAAAGCTTTTCCACATTACAAACCCAAGGATATTGTAACCGACATAAAACAGGAATTTGGGGTACAACTGAACTACTATCAGGCTTGGCGTGGGAAAGAAATCGCTAGAGAGCAGCTTCAGGGTTCATATAAGAAAGCATGAGTCAGTTACCACTTTTCTAAAAAAATGGTTGTCCCTTGTTCCCATATATAATGGGGTAAGGGGGAGGTAAGAAAATAGGCTGCCTGTAACCCCCTAGACCCGGCCTATGCGTTTCGACTAAGTCTAGTGGATCACATTATGATTATTAAAGACATTTTTCGAAACCGTTATTCCATCAATATAAAATCACATTATAAATAACATGAAATTATAAACAAATTATACTATCAAAATCCAACTCGTAAATATAGTACCAATAAATAATAATTTAATTTAAAACACGTCTTCAAATTCAATATCACAATAAACCGAGCAGTATTAGCAAAAGAGTTATCATTATAAAATCCGATATTTTAAAATAAGGTCCATATCACCAAAATAAAGTCAACTTGCCAGATAAAAACATTACAATTTGATTTACTTCAAGAGATATGTTGATCCTCCAAGTGCTCGTACCAAGGTATCTAACCAACAGTATCTGAAAGGGGAAAACATTTTCAAAAGGTAAGCTAGGCTCAGTGTGTCCCAACATTTCCATAAAATCACAATAGGTACAAATCATAGTCCAGTAATATCACAAATTCGTAAAAGAGTTTAACTTTTTGAAAATCATAGTTTAAACCCCTTTCTGGTACACCATCAGTAGTTGCCAAAATTATTTTCCATATAGCTTACTTTATACACATAGCAAAAAGAAAGCCGACTTAAGGATAGGCTCTGAAGCTTGTATCCTTAAGCCCAAGTCAATAAGTCCATATAGCTTACCCTAAGCACACAGCAAAAGAAAGCCGACCTAATGAAACATCTTGGGGCCCACAAGAGTCACATTAGGCCCAGTTAGCTTGATCAGAGCTATTCCATCGTATTTCAATTCCAAAATTCAATTGCACCGTGACATAAATTCCATCAATCCAAAAACATGGTAATCATATACCATTTCAAAACAAAATTAGATAGCAGCCATATTCCATAAATTGTCACATTAAATTGGTGCATCCATAAAACAATAGCCAATGAATTCGGTGTACCACATATTAAAACCAATAAAACAGTTCAATAATAAGCAGGGAACACACCTCGACAATAGGTTCAAATAGCAAATTTACTGATTGCTGGTTTCACCACGCTCTGCTACAATTTTCGAACGGGTGAATACTGGCACACGTGGTTTAACTGATCTAGAAGAGTTGGGTCGAGCTGTCGAACGATCCGGAGAGTCTCTTGTACCTTCAAACAATAATAATCTATCAGTCCCAAATCCTATTTAATTGTTCAAAGCTAGTCTTCTTAAGTATATAAGCATTTTTCGAGTTTGACTATCAATTTGGGGTATTTCGAGTCTGAATTTGGCCAAACGGATTGCGGAAACGGAATCAGGACGTCGAAAAATATAAAGTATGACTTTTCAGAAATTCAGATTCTTGGTCAAAGTCAAAGTCAACCACTTTGACCGTCGATTTGGAGACCTTCGGGTTTGAATTTGGCGAAACGGACTGCGGAAATGGATTTGGCACGTCGAAAACTATCAGGATAGGTATACTCGGAAAAGATTTACGGTCGTTTAAGGGTCGGTCAAAGCCATTTTAAGTTTTAGTCAAAGAAAGTCAACGGTCAACGGTCACGGTCAACGGTCAACGGTCGGGTCAACAGTCGGGTCGGGTCAACCCGATTCAGACC